CGCTCGGCCCTTCGGGCCTCCCTCGCTCGCGGTCAAATGGACCACCCATCAGGAAGGACGACCCCCGCCCCCGCCTAACCCAATCGCCCCCCAAAAAAAACCCAATCGGCCCCCCAAAAAATAGAAGAAAAGAAAAAACTCACTCTTGGCCTTGAGCCCGTCGTAGCACTCCTGCATGATGCCGAGGGTGCTGTCGTGTGCGAACTCGGCGGCCCACATGGCGACGAGCCCGAGCGCGCGCGTGCGCACCTTGTCGTGGGTTGTCTGTTTGTGGAAGGGGAGTGAGTATAATATTATAATAAATTAGGTAGGGAAAGAGGGAGGGAAGGGGCAGGATATTTGGGCGGAGGATGAGGACGGAGATGGGCGGGACGTATCCGGCAGCGGGCAGTGGGCGAAGACGCCGCTACCGAGGCAGATACAGCAAATCCGCGAAGTAACGGGTGTACCCAATACCGGACCGCGTATCCGGCGGACGGCGGGCAGATACGCCAAGTAACGGAATCCAGATTCCAAGCCTGGACTCCGTCGCCCTCCGCAACGACACCGCCGCTCCGCGCAGTCCCAGAGCCTACCACGCCCCACCCTTCCAAAAAATCAAATCAACGCCCAACTCACCCTATCCGTAATAACCCTCTCCAGCCCGCCCGTCCACGCGCGGCTCGCCAGCTCCCTGTGCAGCTCGATGCTGCAGTTCTTGGACAGCGCCTCCGCAAGGCTCAGCGCATACAGCTGCACGTTCGGGTTGCGGTGCGTCAGGCGGCGCAGCAGCGCGGCGACGACGTTGTGCGCGCCCGTGGGGCCTTCATCTTGGACCTTGTCGCAGAGGTTGAGGATGAGTTCCCAGTTCTCTGAGGTTAGGTTCTCGTCGGTCGTTTTGACTGTAGGATTTGCGTATCAATATCAGTATCCCAATTAATGAATGGATTAAGGGAGACGAGGGACGCACTGACGATCTCGTCGTATGGGTTGTTCGACGTTCCTCCGAACATGGTCGTCGTTGCGGTCGTGCGTCCAGTCGTGTAAGTCTTGCTGCAAAGCGGTAACGCAGACTGCGCTTAGCTGTGAGTGTGGCGAAGTCACCCGTCACAGATGCCTGTCACGCCACCCATCTAATCAATCGCATCTTGCTCTCGACACTTGCGCGCACTGTAGAAGTAATGGCAAAGGGTACGTGGGCGCTGTCTGTCTGTTCTGCGCATCCATTCCTTTCCTTTCACTCTCCACCCTGCTGTGACTACTCTCATATACTAACCCCCCACCCCCCCAGTCCCCCGCAACTTCCGCCTCCTCGAGGAGCTCGAAAAGGGCGAAAAGGGCATCGGCGACGGCTCCTGCTCATATGGCCTCGACACCTCCGACGACATCCTCATGCGCGACTGGAACGGCACAATCATTGGCCCGGGACATGTGAGTGTTGTTGACTTTATTCCTGGACGAACTGGGCGTTGACACAACAAACAGACAGTCCACGAGAACCGCATCTACTCGCTCAAAATAACATGCGGCGACGCGTACCCCGACGCCGCGCCGACTGTGCAGGTGCGTTTCGTCTCTTTAGTTATTTCACTCGTCCGTTCGTTCGACCCACTCGTTCATGCCCCAATACCAACCCTCCCTTCACTCATCTTCCTCATAATTACTAACACTAACATTTCACAGTTCCTCTCCCGCGTCAACCTCCCCTTCGTCGCCTCCACCACCGGCCTCGTCGACCCCGCCCGCCTCGCCGTCCTCGCAACCTGGACCCGCGCAAGCAGCCTCGAGACCCTGTTGGTCGAGATCAGGAAGTGCGTGTTTGTTTCTTCTTCTCCCCTTCCTTCTCTTCGTTTTTTTCCTCTTTCTATTTATTCAAAAACTCATTTTTATCCTTTCATACGTATTCCACCCCCTTAAATAAACACTGAACCCCAACAAAACACAAAACAGAGAAATGGCCTCCCCCGCGAACCGCAAGCTCCCCCAGCCGCCCGAGGGGAGCACGTTCTGAAGCTCCTTTTCTCTTCATTACCCCTTTTTGGTTGGCGTCGGACGTACGAGGGAAGATAGTAGTGTGTCGAGCGGTTGTAGGGACATGTGTTGTATGATAGAGAACAGAACAGAATCAGAATTTAAAGGCTTGTAAATGAACTTCACTTCACGGAACACTACGTATAGGAAATATTTTTCAACTCCTCAGCGCAATTGACGTGCAGTAAAGCAAAAAAACCAAGTCGTAAATAAAAAAAGAGATGAGTAGCACACGCCCTCGGCGAGACTCGAACCCACGTCGTCCACATATTGAATTCATTGTACTTTTCAACAAAAGGTGGAGGAGGAGGAGGAGGAGGAGGATGTATTACTGCAGCGGTCCCATCAGGAAACAAGCAGGCTCTGTACCTACGTACAACACGTCCGTATGTACGTTACAGACATCGGGAGCCCTAGCGCTTTGATAGCCTACAAGTATAGACGTCTCACGAATAGACCGAACCGATGGGTGAGCTGATTATCCAGGAACCCTGTAAACCACGGGGAAGAAACGGGGCGCAGAGTCTATATTCGCACGGTACTTTATCCTTGTACCGTGCGGAGTAGCGGAGCCGTTCCACGCTGAGATTGTGATCCCCGAGGTACAGGCCGGTCAGCGCTTTGCGATGCGCGGGGACGACAACCAAGCTCAAGTAATGCCGCAGGTGGCGAGTGACCAAGTTTAACGAGTTGTCTTCCCTGGGTTCGAGCCTATTGCGTAACAGGTGAGTTTTGACCAAGTTATCGATGTCGAACTGCAGGTTCGCATCCGCGATGTCCGTGATGCGGATTATGAGGGAGGAGTCGATGAAATCCACGGAGAGCAAGTCATCCGGTGAAACTTCGATTGGCGTCGGTAAGCGTCGCAGCATTACCACCAAATCTGAAGCCCACCCAGCTTTACCTTCTCGTAGGAGCGAGATCGAGTCCAGAAGCGCAGCATGAACAACACGGTCAGGTTCCGTTTTCACCAGATACTGAAGTCGGCCCATCGCAAGCAAGAGGCACCGGATGCGGATGGGCATGAGACCAGTTTCCGTAAACAGTACAGCGAGCATTGAGTGGGAGCTGAGCCCAAGTAGGCACCGAAGAAATTCGTGCTGGGCTTCCAGGTGCTCACGAAGCAAGGATGTGTCGGTGTCAAGGGCTAACTCACAACCCGAGACGAGATAGCAATCGACCCTTGCCCTGTACAGGGTGAGGCCGCCGCGAACAGGGAGCTGGCCAACGCGGTGTTTGAGTCCGAATATGGCGTTGCTGATGTTCCTCGCCTTAGACGCTTTGATTGAATAGTGGTGGGCGAAGACGTTTGAGTGCACCGACGTGAACCAGATACCGACGTACTTGAAGTACGGCACCAGTTCGACCACGAGATCCCCGAGACGAAGCACTGGAATGACGCTCGGGAGTGGCCCAAAGATCATCCATTTCGATTTCTTCACACTAACGAAGCACTGTTTATTTGTGCCCCATGTGAAGAACATCGACACTTTCGCCTGGAAGGTGGAGAAGGACGTGGACATGATCAGATTGTCATCGGCCTGTTTCGCTTGACACACAGGTCGCCCGTTAGGTGTGCCGTGGAGCCCAATGTCATCGCAGTCGGGCCCAGCCAAGTCTGCGAAATAAATGTTCCACAGAGTCGGTGAAGCTGAGTCACCTATCATGATAATATCCCAGCGACTCCCCGTGCGTGGAGTTGAGTTGTGGCGAACAAATTCTCTCTTTGCCATGAGATCATCGCACTGAGTTCACTGCAACACGCGACAAGTTTCACTTGCGGTGAAGATAGCGTCTCACGGAATGTCTCCACACGACTGGCGTAGAAGGACCTGCGTAGGAAGAAACTCCTTGCACTGTCGAGCTCACTGGCTCATAGCTAACGGTCTTCTCTTCGCAGAATCAAGGATCATTGACCATATGGTCGTGGACGATCATCCCCCGTGCTGAGTTCACTACAACACTCATCAAGTCATGGTTGTGGTGAAAGTAGTCGTCTCGTGTGGCAGTCAGAGGTGTCTCGCTTGCGGCTCGACATCCAGACAGGGCTTCAAGGCCTCATATCCGGTGTGGCCGAAAATAGGGGTTATAGTCTGAAGACAACACCCGTGCGTAGCGTCGCCGTCTCGTCACCGCAGACCGACACAAGATGGACGACGGCCTTTACTAGTAATAGCATGGGTCCGAAGATGCGTGGTGCGCGTCTGTATACGAGTTGAGACTTGCTACTTGCCATTACTGAGCAGTGGTCGTAATCGTGGTCGAACCGTCGTATTGCGCAGCAGACAGACAACAGGCTACATGGCCCGTCTTAGAGGGTTAATCCAGCTCCATGATAAGACAATGGGGTTGAATTCCGCTCATTGCCAGAAATAGGGGTTTTGCTGACGACGACAAAAGCAGGATTTGGACCGCCTAATAGGCCAGTGACAGTGGGTATCTTGCTGTAGTGGAGGTCCTCCTCCGTTCGGAAAAGATCCAGGTGAGACAGAGAGTTTTCAAAAATCGATGGTGGTGGTCAGAGTAGGATCTACCGCTGATCTACGAGGGCTTGAGGAAGAAAGGAGCGATATAAGTAATCAGTAAGGAGGAAACGAGACGAAAAAACAAAAGTATATACCGCAGGCATGCCCTCGATGAGAGTCGAACACACATCGTCCACATATTTTGGGAATACACGGTGAACAAGTATGGAGGATCTACCGCTGATCTACGAGGGCTTCTTCAGCACAACAAACATGCGGAGAGTAGGTGCGGGGGTCCGGGGCAAGGTTGAAAGCAGAAACAAAAGCTTCATCAAGATGACATGCCCATGGGCGGGAGTCAACCCGCATCATCCACATAAATGGCATTCTTGATAAATGAATAGAATGTGGAGAATCTACCGTTGATCTACGAGGGCTTGCCGGTGACCGGTGAGCAACTGAATGTGTCATCAGTAATTGGTAAGGAGGAAATGAGACAAAAAAGAAAAAGCCACATCAAGACCATACCCTCGGTGGGAGTCGAACCCGCATCATCCACAGAATCGTCGGAACAAGGTTTACAAAATGTGGAGGATCTACCGTTGATCCACGAAGGCTTGATATACATAATAAACATGCGGAGGGCAAGGACGAAAAACAAAAACAAAAATTACAATACGAAGATGCATGCCCTCGGTGGGACTCGAACCCACATCACCCACATAATTGGATTTGTAGATGACTAACATAATGTAGGGGATCTACCGCTGATCTACAAGGGCTTGCGGAAGGAAATTGGACATCCCGAGAGGTGGGAATCTTTAGTAAGTTAGTGCGCAAGGCAAGCAAAAAACAAAAATAGAACGAGCATCCTCCATGCCCTCGGCAGGAGTCGAACCCGCGCCATCCACAGAGTACAATTTTGCCATGTACAGCATGTGGAGGATCTTCCATTGATCTACGAAGGCTTCATGGAAGAAATGGATATCTGGGCATCGCTGGATCAGTACAGCTCCAGAAGATCTAGATTCTCGAATTTGTTTCCGCGAAACAACCCAACTGCTGGGGCTTGAGGCAACACAAAAGTCATACAAACGGAAGGAGGAAATCAAACAAAAATCAAAGTGACATCTTACTCATGCCCTCGACGGGAGTCGAACCCGTGCCGTCCACAAGAGTTACAATTTCCAACCCCAATAAAATGCGGATGATCTACCGTTGACCCACAAAGGCTTGACAACAAATAAGGACAGGTGGACACCACTGCATCGCTTATGTATAAACACACCGGAAGAAAATACCGAGTTGACAAGTCCAATTGAATTGGGTGAAGTTCTTGCGAACATCCCAAAAAACTGAATGTGTTCCAATTCATGCCCCAGAACGGCACTGATCCACAAGGGCTCGAGTGAAAAGGGAATTGTAGGTGATATGTATTTTCGCATTTGTGGCTTTCGACTCAACTTACGGCGGCATCTGGCGATATTTAATTGTCCTTCTCTCATTTGGATTCATCGAGGTATTTATACCTAAGTACCGCCATAGGAAGACGAATATTACGGTGTTAAACTGCGTGACAGGGTAATCCAAATAGCTAGTTATTGCCTATTTACTTATGTGCTTCTACACAATTGGTCGCAGCTCCTCGAGCGCCACTCACGGCTCGGAGGTAATGCTTCCGACGGTGCGTCCGTCGGAATTTTTGAGCGTCCGGAGCGGGGGCTTGGAGCGCGCGAGGAAGCGGTCAAGCGCGTCGGGGGCAGTCGTTTTGCCGGAGGGGAGGGTGAGGGTGTGTAGTTTGGGGGCAATTAGCGTGCGCAGGATGGTGTCGGTGTCAACTTGCTCGGAGCCCACGAACACCTCGAGCTCTAGGTATTCGAGATTCGGTGCATGGACGTCATGTGTTTCGAACCAGTCCTCCTCGGATGGCATACTATCCCAGTCGGGTTCGTTGTTTTGATATTCGGTGCCCGGCATCGAGATGGAGAGTGAGACGAGAGAAGGCGAGATGTGCAAGAGGTTCAGGATGGACGTGGTGCACAGAGCATACGAGCCAAACTCCTCGCACTGTAAGTGGAGAGTTTGGAGCTGACTGTGTGGGAGTGGAGGCAGCCGCGTGCAATTACCGTCCAGCACATCAAAAGACAGATGTACAAGCCGAGGCGCAGTGGCGACAAAGAGCAGGTGGGCGTCCAGAAAAAAATCGTTGTTGGCATCGAACGGTGCCTCGGGATCAAAGTCCTCCCAAACGATGATTGTCAGGCGTTCAAGGTTCGGCACCTGTGCGCCGGATAGAGTTCGCAGAACCGAGAAGAAGGGAGCCGGCACGGATATCTTGGCATATTTCAATCGCTGGCCATAGGTAATGAGGGCCTCTAGAAGGCCCTTAAGATCGGGGGCATCCCAATTAATACAGTGAACAGCTATGTTCATGGGATAATCGCCGGACCGCGCCATCCAGGCGTGCAGTGCAGCAGTGCGCCCCGGAATGCGCGCCGGCCCAAAGTTTTGATGGTCCCCGCGAACAGAAACGAAGAATGAGGCCCAGAATCTCGGCAGATCGAGAGCGACAAGCCGCCACTGACGACAAATGTGGGACAAGGCGAGCTGCGGCAGATTGGGTGCGATCAGAATGTCCATGAGAAGGTTTTCGTCATGGTCCCATGGATGTCCGGTGTCGCTTCTGTCGTAGCTGTTGCTGTCCTCCTCCCAGTGCCCCAACAGAAGGAGGAGGATTTCGCAAATAACATCGGCCGATAAACGACCACCAATCGATTGGTTGGACGGATTTGTGTGGGAAACCTGAACGGAGATGAGATTTAGACGTTGTAATAGTTGGCAGGAGCCTACTAAATCCATGCCGAGCAAGTCTGAACCCGAGGTCTGCGCGGTTCAGAACAAGGGCAAAAACGGCATAGTTGGCATGACATGAGGTGATGTACGAGACTACGAGTTGATCCGATGGACAGACCCGTAATCCGCCGATCGCTCTTGAGAAATTTGAAGACGACCGAAGCGACAGGTAGGTAGGTAGCATTACACGGCACGGTCCCGCTGAGGAACGCCGGTTCCCAGGGATTATCTAAGTATACATGCGCCAAAGTACACTATTGCCCCTGGACTCCTCCATAGCACCAGAGACGAGCTCACGGACACGCTATGCCGCCGCGGTAGATCTAAGGAACTATAAAGAAGCAAAGAAAAATCAATTAGCAGAGAATATGTGAGACCAATTATTTGTATCAGGAGCTGTCGCGCACAACACAGGAATTGAATTGAATTTTTGGAGGTCCGAGAATATCATGCCCCATTAGCTACGAGTGCAATAGTGGGTTGCACGGGCTGGTTCGCATGGTCTGTGTAGCGCAAACTTCCACGGGCACTTGGTGAGTTGGGAGCATTGCTGAGGTTAAAATTTAAACCTCGTGATGCCTGCCAAATGTTCACCATAATTAGCCTGTGTCAGATTCAGACGCTGGAAATTCGGCCTTCCAACATTCAAATATTCTGTGAGGCAAGTACAACGTCTCTGATGACTCAACCGTGTCTTAAAGCCATTTCTTTGGTCCACCAATTGTGCAGAGTTCTGAGCATCTTCGAGTGCATTTAGAACTATTAGGTTGGGGCAAGTGAATGGCCGTCTTGCAGCCGCAGTGAGTACTTCCGAGGCTCTGCACCTTCTCGGTGCCTTTGGCAGAGAGTTCCGGTGAGCTATTTAAAGCTGCACGGACGTGCCGATTAGTAAGTCCAAGGAAAGTAACTAACTGCGAGGTGCCGCATGATCAAAATGAAGACATCGAGCTCAAATTGGTGTTATCGCAGTCTCTGTGAATGAAGGCGCGGATGCTGCAGCCTCAGCTGCGTATTGATGTGTTGATATTGATATTGATATTGATCGGTTCGTTACGTTCCGTCTCTGACCGTTTTTGGAAGCTGCCTAGTTGCACGTGTGCATGCTGACTAAGTGACAACGGCGTTGCTATGCGGCCGGCGTGGTGGTGGGCAGCAAGAGCCATGGCGAGGGAGACACACGGACATGGAGAGAATGGAACATGAAATTTGAGCCTCCAGAACTTCTGAGATATTTTGGGGAAAAAAGGAATGAAAAAGGGCAGAGGTGGAGGATGGATTCAGAGGTATGCATCTGGATGACGCGGACAATCACAGTGCAAGCATTTCCTTCCTGGCAAGTAGACTGTCGCGAGCAGGTCGTGAGTCTCAAGGTGACCATGTCCGACCATAAGGAGGATGGAATGGCCTCCGAAGAGGTGTAGTATTTTTATACCCAGTCGATGATCATCGGCGTCCGCGCAATTTCTCTCGCTGTTGGTATAGGACAGTAGTGGTGTCTTTGAGACCCTTATTGTGTTCGCTATATCCAGCCAGGCGGAGAGTTTGAGCGTCGGTACGGAGTGTCTCGAGCTTTTGGGATTTTGATGGTGGTGGTCATGGAATGAGAATGAGATCCACAGACAAGCTGGAAAATTGAAAGCGGTCAGGCGGGGCAGCCCTGAGTCGAATGCCGTACGAAGGCAGTGAAAAAGAAGAAAGGAGGCTGACAGCTCTGTCGAACCCAACTTGAAGACGTTAGTGGGGGAGATAGTGGAAAGCGAGAGAGAAAAAAAAGAAGCCCGCATATCTTGTCCCGGAGTAAGCGGCCCTAATTTCGCTATAGCCACAGGGGAGAGATCAGCAAACGGAATCCAAAGCTCTGATCATGCTATGCCCAAGCTATGCCAGTCGCCAACCAGTCGCTTCGACTCTTCGAGGCAGAGTAGAATCAGAGTAGATACTGCACCCGAACCTTCGTGCCTCAGGACATTCCGTATCTGATAGGTATCTTGAGGTACGAAATCTACTGCTGCCTCTGGGAGACTGTCCCACGCACACACTTAGACTCGTAACCAGTCTGTAAACAATTGCCGAAAAAATGCGGCAAGCGCTTCGGTGTAACCACCAAAAGTGCTCGCCACATTTTTTGGATACTGGTTACAGACTGGTAACGAGTCTAGCACACACTGTCCAGGCAGGTATTTATGATACGTATTTTCTCCAAAAACTTGGAAAGATAGCGAACCTGGATATTTCCCATATATATCGAGTATATCACTCTAAATTTCTCTCCAGAACATGCTGTCGCGGTGGTCTGGTCCCTCGCATTGTCACAATTGTCCCCGCCAATAATGAACTGGTATCGCCTCCACTCACTCCATAGGCGCCAAACGCCCCCGAGTCCATCACAGTTCATAGAACATTTTTAGGGCGTGGCTGGCCTCGTCAAGCTTCACTTTCGACTCTGAGTATCATTTTTCGGGCTACATCTCGGTTTTAAATCAACTGAATCATTGAATCTAATCAATTTGAATTCCCATTGTTATTCCAAGCTTGACACTCATTCGTCTCCGAACGGATCATCTGGGATGACGTTGAGTATAGCACGCTGTATTTTTGGTCAGCCCAGGAGCCGGAAAGCTTTACACAATAACTCACCCCACCGCGATAGTGGGAAACAATACAGGTCGGTTTCTTGTCGAACTCCCTCGTCAGCCCGTCCTTTGCGAAGGCCGCGAACTGCCCTCGAGGGAATGCCTCTTCAATCTCGTGCACGGTGGACCGGTTGAACGCGGCCCCTCCGACCCCCAAAAATCCAACGAGGTCGAACTGGGACCCGAGAACGAGGAGCATGCCAACGGCGGAGGAGTTCCCAATGCCAAATTCACTCGTGTGGAGCATGATGCTTTGTACGATGTCCCCGACTTGATGAGCATCCAATCGAGGAGCCGTAGCGTGCAAGTGGTCGTACGCCATGATACCCCCAAAAATTTCAAACGACATTGCATGTGCGGGGTGGGCAACGCTGTCTGGCCCGAGCGTCAAACCGAGGTCGTGGAGGATCGCGGCGTGGTAGAGACGTGTGTTCAGCTCCTGGAACGAGATCTGGGGAACGCCGGGGGTGTTGGAAGGGAATCCATTGAACAGGATTACGAGGGCGTAAAAGTAGGTGCGGAGGACGTGGAGAAACCCAATTTTGGGCAGCAGCTTCAGCGCATAATTGTACGAGGCCTTCTGCGCATGATCAAGCGGGAGCGAGCTGAGTGTGTCAAAGGAGACGTAGTTTGGCTGAAGTTTAGCCAAGGCCAAAAAATCAGAGAAATTGGACGGGACGTAAGCGTCGAAAGTAGGAGCGAAGGACATTTTGCTCCAGATGATGATTTGAAGGACTGCGGCTCTGA